TGTGCTAAATTTAGTGCCAAATTTTGTGAGAAAATTCGTTACTGAATTTAGTTCCCAATCTATTTACAAATTGTCTGACACATAAATAAATTTTTGTACTAAATTTCGTACGAAATCATGCGCCTCTTGATAGAAAAAACTATAACTGTGAACTTCTACCTGTCACTTATAACGTCAAAGTCAATCTAACCGCACTTTTCTTTGCGGTTGCTACTTTATTCCTCTATTTTTAAGCTAATACAAAATTGTAGAAAATGGAGCATATACGAGGGGGTGCCCAAAATGAAAGCTGTTTATTTTCAACTTTTTCACAAAGTAACCTTATCTCCTTCAAAATATTGTCCACTACAACTAATATACTTGTCCCACCGATGCTTCCACTGCTGACGAAACATTTTTTGAAATATTCCTTATAAATGTCTGACAGCTCCTCCCTCGTTTTTTTCTTGACCTGTTCAATGTCGTTAAAGCGGCGTCCTTTCATGACCCTTTTTATCCGTGGAAATAACAAAAAGTCGTACCGAGCCAGGTCACTGTTTCGCAATCGTCTTAAAACCTCTAAATAGCACAAGCTCTCGAATTTTTTCAACATTTTCGTCGATTCGGGCAGTTGATCGATCATCTTAATTACTTGTAATGCCCAAATCGAAAATGTAAAAAAAAATATTATTTTCCCATAAATAATTAAAAATGCATCGAACCTTAAAAATCGAAATATCTCAAAAACTGCTAACTATAACGAAAACTCACAGGAGAGCTTTTTTATGCAGAAAAGTGCGAATAATCAGTTTTTTTATTCAAAAAGCAAAAAATTGCACTAAGAAAAAATTTTCGGTCATTTTAATACACTACAGGTACAGTAGAGAGCGCCCTCTAGCGGCTACAGTAAAACTATGTCCATGGTTCGTTTTGTCGTACCAAAAAACCCTTGTATACCAATTTTTACTGTTATACATCAAATATTGTTCGAAATATTTAAAAAAAACTATTTTAAAAAGTAAATTTAAACACCCTGAATTTCGGAAGCCACGCATTTTTCGACACATGTTTATATAGACTTTATGCATTAATTTTAAAAGTTCTATCGAATCTTAAAGTTATGGAACAATAAACTGAAACACCCTGTATAATCGCTTTCAAGTAAAAGTGCGAATATCACCAAAGTAGGACATCATGTCTGTAAAGACAGACAATTACAGTTGTGTAACTTTTTTCATTCATGAGAAGTGTCGGCACCATTCCAAGTGAATTAATGACATTTCATGTTTGGGAGATCTCCATCGTCATTTATTCTTTTTAAGTCTAAATGAAAACTAAAAGTTTGACGTTTTGAAAATGATGCCTTACCTTCTTGAGAATCTGGAGAACTCAAATGAGCTTTCCTGGCAGCTGTCAAGCACTTGTCTACCGCTTGTACAGTAGCTAAGACGTAATCCTTTTGTGATATTCCTTCAGTGTAGACCTTCACCAAACCTTCAATGGTTGGGAATCCATCTTCATCTACCTATTAAAATCGAATCATCAAGTTCAAGATATTAATATTTATTATTATTATTATTATTATTATGATAATTGAGATGAGCAGAGTACACAGTACTATAAGCTCATGCAGTAAATATAGTGTACGGACACGTAACACAAATACATCAAATACAAAAAAATTAAAAAAGACAGTTCATAGCTATAAAGTTTGTACACTCCTCCAGCTATCATACTGCACTTTGAAGCTATTAACTGAAGTAGCACCAACCACACTTTCAGGTAAACTATTCCAGGTGTTGAATATGCGGTTGGGAAGAAACCACTGCCGGACTGTTGTTTTAAATGGCTCCTTATGCAGTTTGAAGCTGTGTCCGCGTAGATTGCTGCGCGACAGACGGTATAGATGCATGAGGTTGGTGCCCATCAAACCATGAAGTATCCTGAACGTAACTATAAGATCGCCACGAAGTTTTCGCTCAGAGAATGTGTCATTTTGAATAATTCAAGGCGATCTTCATAGCTTGGTCTTCGTGCTCTAAAAGGGATACGAGCAGCCCGACGCTGTACTGATTCGACGAGATTTCTATCGCGCAGAAGCACAGTGTCCCATACCGGGCCAGCGAATTCAAGAATTGGCTTCACGAATGCCTTGTAAATGTAGGCGCAAGTGTTGACATCGGATCCTTTGAAAGACCTCTCCAGCATGTATAGAAGTTTCTTGGCTTTTGATGTAACGTGGTGAATATGCTCTGACCAGGAAAGACGATCGTTGACTACAACGCCCAGATCAGTGTGGCTGGAAACTGCTTCGATGTTGTGGTCAGAGATCTTGTATGTAAATCGCGGATTTGTCTTCCCGAGGTGAAGGACACAACACTTAGTTAGATTTAAGGGTAAAAGCCAACTGACTGACCATTGACAAACAATATCAAGATCTCGTTGAAGCATAGCAGAATTTACGACAGTATTGTAAATCTTGGTGTCGTCGGCATAAGCTGAACATGTGGAGGAAATCAATGCGGGCAGGTCACTTGTATACAGAAGGAACAGCACTGGCCCCAAGACAGAGCCTTGAGGAACTCCACTTGCTACATGATGAAGGTGAGACTGGCTATCACTGACGTGCACAGAGAAAGTCCTCCCGGTGAGAAAAGCCTTAATCCACAGTAACAACTCGCCTCTTATTCCCATACATTCCAACTTAAGCAGAAGCGATCGAAAGCCATAGAAAAATCTAAGTAGATTATATCAACAGGAGTCTTTGTGTCCAGATACTGAGTCCAATCGTTGAGAGAGTGGAGAAGGTTGGTCATTATTGATCGACCAGGGAGAAATCCATGCTGATTCTTAGGGATAAGGTCATTTTCGAAAGCAAATGACAGGAGCTTATCTAATATGATTCTTTCAGCTATTTTGGCGGCGATAGGAACGAGACTTATTGGTCGATAATTTTTAGCGGAGGATTTGTCGCCCTTTTTGAATGCAGGGGTAACAGAAGCACTAAGCCAGCATGAGGGTAGGGTATGAGATCTAAAAGACGATGTGAATATCAAGCTTAATGGTAGGGCCAGTGCTGAAGCGCAGTTTTTAAGTACAGCAGCCGTCATCCCATCTTTACCAGGGGAGGAAGAGGTCTTCAGATTTCGCAGGTGCATTAATACATCTTCAGGCAGGAACTCAACTTCGCAAAGGCTGTTGGGACACCTATGGCAGATAGTGGTCGGTAGAAGGTCTCCATTAGGCTCATCGACGAAGTGATCACTAAAGGACTCTGCCAGTAAGTTGGCAGATTCGGTGGCATCCATGTGGAGATGACCGTCAGCGTCGCGGATCTAAGGTGATGAAACTTTGGAATTCAGGTTTGTTCTTAGATACCGAAACAGCTTCTTCTTATTCTTGGAGGTAACGAGTTTTCATTCATAAGCATGTTTGGCATTATGTAACGTTCTAGATAGGAGGTTAGAAAAGGATCGATGAGACACGTAATCTTGTGAATGGCCACTCCTCCTAAACCGTTGCCACAAAGATCTCTTGTGACGAAGCATCCTCGATATGTTAGAGTTGATCCAGTGCAACAGTATTGTCAGCCGTTTCGCTTAGGACTCGTTGAGCGAAAGTGTCCCACATATCTTGGTTGCTACGGTTGTTAAGCAAAGCAGGCCAGTTGACTTCAGACAGGGCTTGGTTAAGAGCTTCGTGGTTTACAATTTTGATGGTTTTAAACTTATCGGTTGTAGAACGACTATTTATATTGAACTGGAGAGAAGATAAAAGTGAACAGTGGTCAGACTTGCCAAAAGGTGGCAAATAATCTAAATTAGAAACAAAGTCGGCGTCGTTAACGAATATCAAATCCAGAGCCCTAGGCGTCTGTCCTTCCCTGAATCTCGTTGGACGATAAACAAGTTGAGATATGCTAGAGTTGCGTAGCAAGTCGATGTAAGCAGCAGAAGAAGAATTGCATTCAGGAATGGTTGACATAGGCCAGCTAATGTCACGTAGATTGAAGTCACCAGCGATGAAAAGGTTAATGTTTTTATTTAAGAGATCTGAAATGAGACTGCACAGGTGTGTGTCTCCCAAACAGGGCCGTGGCCGATATATGCAGCCTATCGTGAAGCTGAAATTTGGGCACATCAATTCCAAAAATAGATTGTCAATGCCATCGAAAGGACTGAAAGAGGGAGATACCGAGAAAGCCGACGCGATTTCCGTGCGAACATAAATGCATACTCCACCAAAACCAGGAGTGCGTGGTGAATCCATTCTGTATAAATAGTATCCAGGCAAATTGATGGAAGAGTCGGACACGTTGGAATGGAGCCATGTTTCAGTAAGGCAAATGAACGTTGGATTATTGTCTCGAACAAATGCTTGGAGTTCAAGTAGCTTAGAAAAGAGAGATTGTATATTAGTGTAACAAACCGTCCAGTTTGCCACAGAATTTATCAGTTTTTTGAAGGTGTGATCTCCTGGGTAGCTGTGTGTACTATAGAAGGTTTACGACGAACGTATTTTATAGTAATATTACTTTCGCCTGTTGTTTGACGACGTCTAAGCTCTTCTCGAAGGTATTGTAGTTCTTGCATTTGACCTCTGGTTTTGTCGTCAGAGATTTTTACGTGACGAAGCGTGGGGTGGCTAAGGATGGAGTTTTTCTTCCGCAAAATATTGCTGACGATAATAGGTGAGGAAAACACAACTCTAATTAAACGATTGCTTGAAGTTGTTCTGCCAAGGCGAGTGATGCTGAGTCGGTGATTTTCGGCAGATGGTTCAATATGCCTAATTATCTCTGATACTATGTTTATGTCATCGTTCCCTTCAGCTATGCCCCTCAGAATGATATTGTGGGAACGTCTAAATAACTTCATTGTCTCAGCTTGGGAGCTTGGGGCAATAGGGGTATATGTTACAAGCCATATTGGAGTGATCAATAAAAACTTGAAACTAGTAACAAAATAACAGCAAAACAAGCCAGTCGACAATATAACAAATCTATTCAATTAAATCATTGAAAATCTTAGCAAGAGGAGATCTCTTCAATACTATATAAATACTGATCGATCACACAAATTTCAAATTTTGTTTGAAAGGTTTCATGTATTTGTGACTTTGCCTTATCTGGATGATTACTCAAAAAATTTAATTCTAAGTAATTTGATGTGATATGGCTGCATTTATAATTACAAATAAGTATAATTCCGAAATGTTTAAACAGCTCTCTACTGGAGTGGTGGTTGTAAATATTTAATAAGTTTTTACAAACTTATTTGAGACATAAACACTTCCTTTTCCTGTGATGACCTACCCTACAAGCAAATGCCATAACGAGGTATAGACATAGTATATGTCAGGACAGCTTAAAACAATTCTTAAATTCCTAAAAACATCTACATACGAGCATGATGATTTGCATAGTTGCTCACAGTGGCTCGGCCAACTCAAACAGTCATTAATAAAGACTGCGAAGAATTCTGTATCGTTTTGACTCTCTAATACTGAAATATGTATGTTGAAAGAGCTCGGTATCATAATAAAACGGCACTAATTTCCCCTTTAGCTGAGTTTGAAGTGTTTTGAAACATTTCAATTATAAAGAAAGTACACCGTTATCTAACAATACGAGATATTCAGCTTCCTTAAGTGAGATATTATGCTTATTGGTATATCGGTGTTAGATAATAGCCGAACTAAAAGCATTGTTCTTATTAAGTAGGCTACTTACTGCTTTCATTTTCCTGTATACGCACTGTAGAAGACACTGAAATAAAAACATCAAAATTATGAATAACCAGTGATGTTATAACGATTAAGGTGATAACAAAACTATTGCCAATTATATTAAAAACGCTCATTATGCAGATTGATTATTTAAAAAAAGATTCAAATTGCGTTAAGTAAAACAATACTAGAAGGTTGAATTCACAATAGTAAAACAAGCATATGAACCTTGATAACAAACTCAAACTTTAGATTTTAATACAAAATTTGCTTATTTTGATCTAAAATCGAATTTTTAATTCGTAATGCCTCATTCTACGAATGTCACTATCTTGAGTACAAAATTATAAATATTCTGTTAAACCTCTAAGCCGGCCATGACCCACGGAACACCGCAAAAAAACTAACCACAAAAATTATATCACCGCACCGGAGAAATATCGTGATCTTGAAAACAATGCTACCGATCTCACATTTAGACCAGTGAAAATTGGCTTAATAAATAGTAAAAATACTTGAAACTAATCGCTGTATTGTTTTTCACATCCATAACTAATCAGATGCTTTATTTTTACCAGGCTCAACGATACGCATACATAAATAGCAACTGCCAATGTTGTTTTTTAAAGCTTAAGGTTCAATTCGCTTCAATCGCGTATCTGTGATCATGGAGGTGGAAACCTTGCCTTGGAATGTACAAGATGCGGTGTTATCAAACGGACCAATGATCAAATGTTGCAGAATTTGTGGCTCATGACCTTTCATTTCGACCTAAAATGGAGCGCCGTTAGGACCGATCGGGAATCAGTCCTAAACAGATTCGACAAAATTTACAATTCCAAAATTTTTTATTTTTTTTTATATCGAAACAGCCGCGCAGGCAGAAGCCTAAATGCCGGAACACCGCGGCTGCTATGATGATCCCAAAGAAATTTTGTTAATACGATTTTTGAACTGCCTAAGGTTAGTAGAACTGGGAAAAGCTTCCTCCCGTAGATTGTTCCACAATCTAGACACCCTCGGGACAAAGGAGCGGTCGTATCGGTCAGTTCTGGATGTACGAAGTTTGACACGGTTAGGATGGGACGCCGAAGTCAGGCGGGTCTGTCTGGCAGGCACATTGCGCGGCGGCATCATGGAAGAGAGCTCTGAGGAGCAAAGCCCGTTGGTGTAGCGATAGAAAAGAGCTAGATCGCCGACGGCCCGCCTGTGCGAAAGAGTCCCGAGACTGTCTGTTAGAGAAGAGTCATCGATCAGTCGGACCGCCCTCCTCTGGACAGCATCGAGCATGGACAATGTAGTCGGGGCGGCAGCACCCCAAATGTGTGAGCAATACTCGAGGCTAGGCCTTATCTGGGCCTTGTATAGAGTGACAAGGTCATGCGGAGAAAAGTACTTCTTAGCCCTAAACAAATAGCCTAGCTTTTTCCCAGCAGCTGCAGCTATTGAAGAGATGTGTTCATGCCAGATCAGGTCCTCGGTGATCTGGACTCCGACCAGCCGAAATGAATGGCTCTTTGGTAGAACTCGACCGTCCATCGAAACTGTATGAGCGCTAGGACGCTTTTTGTTCGTCAAAGTACAGTACTGTGTTTTGGAAGCATTGAACTGTACAAGATTGTTGCGTCCCCAAGCAGTGATAGCCTCCAGGTCTCTTGTCAGAGAAGAAGTCGTCGCTAGTCTTCTTTTTTCCAGCTCAGCGGCAGAGATCGGCTTGTCACTCTGAATTCCTGCGTGTAGAGTGCTGTCATCAGCGAAGCTGTGGGTTGGGTTGATCGTGCAGGAAAGGAGGTCGTTGATATGTAAGAGAAACAGTGTTGGAGCCAAGACCGATCCCTGGGGAACACCCGCGTTGACGTTGTGGGATGAAGAGGAGAATCCGTCAATTACGACGGATATCTTGCGGCCAGAGATAAAGTCAGCCACCCATCTGCAAAGCTTTTCTGGGAGGCCGTAGGATGGAAGTTTGCTTAAGAGGGCAGCGTGCCACAGCTGATCGAACGCTTTCGTGATGTCAAGAGCAACGACATGAGCCTCACCATGAGACTGGATGAGTTTACTCTACAGCTGCGTGACGTAAGCTAGGAGGTCCCCTGTGGATCGTTGGTGCCGGAAACCGTACTGCCTGTCGCTAATCAAGCTGTAACGTTCGAGGTAGTCCAGAAGCTCGCGATTTATGCACCTCTCCATCACTTTACTTATAACAGAAAGCAGAGCTATAGGCCTGTAGTTGTAAGGGTCGGTTTTAGATCCTTTTTTTGGGATGGGCTGTACATGAGCAAATTTCCAGTTTTCTGGGAAGGTGCCGGATTCATAAGATATCTGGAAGAGACGCGAAAGAACTGGAGCAAGCTCCGCTGCACATCTCTTCAGTACAATGGCAGGAATCAAGTCCGGACCAGAAGCTTTGTTGATGTCGAGCGACAAGAGCACTCGTCTTACGGTCTTATGCCTGAATGCTACCTCCCGCATAGTGTGGGGAACCCTTTGAATTGACGGCACTTGGGCGTTGGTGGGGACGTCCATGGTGGAGTTGGCAGCAAAGATCTTGGCTAGCACTTCCGCCTTGGCCTTTGAGTCGAATACAATAGTTCCATCCTGACACGTAAGTGGTGGAAAGCTACTGTGTGAGAAGTTCTTTTCAATCTGCTTGGCCAGCGTCCAGAAAGACCGACTGCCATTGCGCTGCGACATTACCCTGTGCCTAACTTTTATATCATGCTGGTTTTTGGCATTGCGAACCGCTTCGTTATATTTGTTTCTGGACTCGACGTCGGCTTGTCTGTTCTCTACAGTAGGGTTTTGTAAGTAGGTTCTGTGGGCCTTGATCTTCTGCTGGCGAGCAGTGTCACACGATTTGTTGAACCAGTCGTTGGACCCTGGTTTAGGAACTTTCACTGTGTGGGGGATGTATTCCTCCATTCCGACGTGGATAATTTCGGTTATTGAAGAACAGACAGTAGACGCATCCGCGTCAGTGAAACATACATCTCTCCAAGGAAAGCTAGAGAAGAAGTCTCTGAGCCCCTCCCAGTCGGCATGTCCGTAATGCCAAGTTTTGCGGCCTGTGCGAGTTTCTGCTGCCACAGCGGCTTCTGACCGAAACCTAACCTCCACAACACCGTGATCTGAGTTACCCAGGGGGGACAGGACAGCAGTGCTGTAAGGGGCAGGATGCGTGGTCAGAAAGAGATCCAGCAGGCTACTGGCGTGTGACGAGACGCGGGGGAAAAAAGTAGGGCTCGTCACCAGCTGGGTCAGCCCTTGAGTAAGAGCGAACGCTTCGACTGCACGACCTGCTGCATCGGTCTTATTTGAGCCCAACCAAAGCTCATTATGGGCATTGAAATCACCGAGAAGAACTACCTCTGAAGCGGGGTGATTGATGTTCAGGAAGTCGATCTGGACGGCGAGGTATTCGAGTAGGTCATCCCAGTTATGGTTCGAGGGAGAGCGACAAAGGCAGCAAATAAATTTGGGTGATGTTTTGGAGTTGAGGCGAAGCCACAGAATGTCCTTCCGGTCTGATTCCAAAGAAAGATCCCTGGAGCAGGAAAGACTGCTGCGGACAAAAGCCACAACTCCCCCGTTCTTTCTCAGATTGGAGTGCACCTCGTAGTTTGGGAAGTTGAGATGGTTAATCGGTGCAGTCTCTGAGATTTTTGTCTCCGCCAAGAAAAGCACGGCGGGACGATTGGATTGCAGGTAGTGATGAACAGCATCAATGTTGCTGTTGATCCCGCAGATGTTCGAAAAACAAATTTTATCTTCGATGTTGTTCCCTCGAGCCCACCCTCCACCCGGACATTCCGAGAGTGGAGTGAGTTTACGTCCGGAGTTTTTAGTGCTCGAGGGATCCATCATCATTAATTTCTTTGTTTTGGTAGATAACCGACTGCATAGCTTAGGTGTGGAAACATGCGGACATTTATAAGACACCCTGGGAAAAGCTAGCGGGTGGTACTGCCTCGGTCGACTGGTCCTTGTCTACCACCTTCTTTTTACGTGTTAGTGATGTTAAATAGACCTAAAGTGGCCCGTTGGCGGACTTGTACCGCCACCCGGCAATCGGTACTGAGGTATTCCTTAACGCGTGCACAATCACTTGGACGGGAAGAAGTTGTATACTGGATACAACAACTTCCGGAACAAGCATTTGCCACGGCCCTCGCTCAGTAGGGGGTAGTAAAATAAAACCATTATTTGGGAGTGCAGAATATCATACCTGAAGCATATCCTGACTTGGTGGTAAAATGATTTAAATGCAGGCAACGTTCCCTGGCGCCATCTCTCATAGTGTTTAAGAACATATCAAAATATCCACTAATACAGGTGTGTGGTAAAATGATCCAAGTGCACTTGAACCATTTTACTTCTAAGGCTTTGGCAACTATTTTTAATGTTTTACATGTGACGTGATTTCAACGTTTTACTTATTCTTAGTTAAAAATACGCATTTTGCAGTGTTGGTAGTGTTATAATAATAAACAAAATAAGTACTGATTGGGAACGCAAGGTATCTCTCAAGAGAATTAAGTATCAATAAGATGTACAAATTATACCAGGAGTTTTGTACAAGAATTACCAGTAAAAGAGTCCTATTACAGGCATATTTTCAATACGGAATTCAATTTAAGATTCAACAAGCCCTATAGTGATACCTGCAGTCGTTGTGACAATTTACAAAATTTAATAAAATATTCTACAAATGAAGACGTGATTAAAAATGCCAAGCAAGACCTCGAGCTGCACCAAAGAAAGGCCCAGAAAGCAACAGATGCCAAAAAAAGCTGATATTGCTGAAAATAAAAATGATTCTAAAAATACGGCTGTAATTTGTTTTGATTTGCAACAGGCATTGCCGACGCCATTGTTAACCACCTCTAAAGTATTTTATCTTCGTCAATTATGGACGTATAATTTCTGTGTTTTTGACTTACTGGCTGGAAAAAGTTATATATATGTATGGAACGAAACTATTGCATCCAGGGGCTCACAGGAGATATGATCATGTTTAATAAAATTTGTGCAAATCCTTCCATCTACAGTTACGAAGATTATTGCATATAGTGATTCGTGTGGAGGACAAAATAAGAATAAAAACATTGCTAAACTATTTAGTTTTACTGTTCAAGCTACAGATATATCTGAGATTCATCACAAGTTCCTTGAACCCGGGCACACTTACATGGAATGTGACCGTAGTTTTGGCTTAATCGAGAAGAAAAAAGGCAAATCCCTCAAGTTTTTGTCCCCGCAGATTGGGAGACTGTAATAAGAGGCACATCGGCCAAATTTATTGTGTACAATATGAACAAAGACCATTTTTACTCTTTTTCGCCGTTCAATGAAATTGTGAACGATCCCAAAAAAAAAATAGTGACGGTTACCCCTTAAAATGGAAAGAAATTTGCTGGTTTGCTCACTATAAAAGTGAAAGACTAACATTTCGATACAAGAATACCCTAAACATTGATGTAGAGTTTAGCAGTTGCTTAATGGCAACCTCAAAAGTTGGGCGTCCGTGTTTTAACTTTTCAATACTAAAGCCTTTGAATGGCACTTCAATAAAGATTAAAGTCGCCAAGTACAAAAACTTGCTTAGCTTATTGGAATACGTTCCGCCCATTCACCATACATTTTATAAAACCATGAAGCACGATGGGAAAGCATTAACAAAAAAAGGAAATAAGAAACAAACACAGACCCTGACATCAAGCCAAAAAGTACCTGATATAGATGAACCCCAACCAAGACCAGCTGATTCAGATGAAGAAAATGATGAAGACATCCAAATATTAGATTCTGATTATGAATAAGAAATTTTGTTAAAGATTGTTTTTAAATAATGTTTGGTTTAGTACGGTAGTTGCTCTTGAATCATGTTACCACCATAATGTTTGTAACATGTATAATGATTCAAGTACATTTTTGGAAAAATGACAATAAAAAAGCAAAATTAAGAAAATGTTTTTTGTTTGTAATGTTTAATTGGCATTTAAATAAACTTAATACTTTGATAAATTTATTCCTGGAATTTTCAAATTCAAGTAAACTTTGAAGCCATTTATCTCAGAACTACTAAAAATGTACTTAAACCCTTTTACTTCCAGGTCCCTCAATTAAGCATGTAATCAACAATTTTTATAGTTTTTTTCGGAGAAGTTGCTAATAAAGTTTTCGTTATATGAATTGATTAATTTCATCGCACTGTGAGGGCCGTGTATTCAAATTGTGAATCAAATTCCTATAAACAAGCTTTTGTCTAAGGTGAGAGAGAATAGGGGTTTTTAATGTTTTGATGACAAATGTGACAAAGTTGTGTTTGAAATATCAGATATTTTCAACCAATTCATGGAAGCTATTAAGTGAGAAACGTGATCGTAACGTCTTAAATTGATTATTTAGCGAGACCATATATTTTTAATATTTTGCAGCCTGTATTCTGTTATTTCGCCCAGACAGGGATAATAAACAATGGTGGTTGTGATTTAACATACCCTCATAGAAAATAATATACTAAGTGACATATAAATCCGAACACCCAGTTTAAATGGTTTTATTTTAATAAAATTTTGTATAAGTACTAAATGCAGCATAATAAGTAAATGATAAAAATTTCAAAATGATTGCACTGCTTTAAAGCCCTTTGACCTTTAATAATGTGTGGATGCACCCTGATGTGCTACGCATTCTCCAACGCGCCTAGGCATGCTTCTGATCAGGTGGTCAATGTCCTCCTGTGATATCTCATTCCAGGCAACCACCAACTCCTCTCGAAGTGCTTCTAGAGTCTGAGGAGGACGTTGCAAATTGAGCAATCTCCTACCCATCATATCCCACACGTGCTCAATTGGGGATAAGTCGGGAGATCTTGGTGGCCATGGTAACAATGTGACATCATTATGTTGAAAGAAGTCTATTGTGACTCTTGCGACATGTGGTCGGGCATTATCTTGTTGGAAAGTTGGATCTGCCAGGGTGTCAAGATAGGGTAAAAGATGGGGTTCTAGAACTTAGTGGATATAACGCTGCGCGTTCATGTTACCTCTGATGAAGATTAAAGGTGACCTGGAACCATAAGCTATAGCACCCCAAACCATAACTCCAACAGTGTGATGAACATGTCTTTCAACAAAAAACTGTTGGTTCCTCCTTTCACCACGTCGCCTTCTAACCCTGGCATGACCATCGTGCATGCCTAAACAAAATCGAGACTCGTCACTAAAGACAATACTGTTCCATTCCTGATCCCAGAGTAACCGTTGTCTGCACCACTCAAGGCGATTACGTCGGTGTTCTCGAGTTAAAGGGAGGACCCAGTGTGGCCGGTATGAAAGCAAGCCAAAACTTCTCATTCGTCGGTAAACACTTCGCATGCCAATAGGTCTTCCGTGTTCTGCAAACCATTCATTTGCAATGGACCTGGTAGTGGAGAAACGGTCCCTTAAGGCCAATAATTTTGACACCCTGGCAGATCCAACTTTCCAACAAGATAATGCCCGACCACATGTTGCAAGAGTCACAATAGACTTCTTTCAACATAATGATGTCACATTGTTACCATGGCCACCAAGATCTCCCGACTTATCCCCAATTGAGCACGTGTGGGATATGATGGGTAGGAGATTGCTCAATTTGCAACGTCCTCCTCAGACTCTAGAAGCACTTCGAGAGGAGTTGGTGGTTGCCTGGAATGAGATACCACAGGAGGGCATTGACCATCTGATCAGAAGCATGTCTAGGCGCGTTGAAGAATGCGTAGCACACCAGGGTGCATCCACACATTATTAAAGGTCAAAGGGCTTTAAAGCAGTGCAATTATTTTGAAATTTTTATCATTTACTTATTATGCTTCATTAAGTACTTATACAAAATTTTATTAAAATACTGGGTGTTTGGATTTATATGTCACTTTGCAGCCTGTATTTTGTTATTTCGCCCAGACAGAGATAATAAACAATGGTGCTTGTGATTTAACATATCCTCATAGAAAATAATACATAGACCAGACAATTTTTAAGGCTACCCTATTGGTCCACATTTTTAAAAAAATCATCCGGCCAAAATGTGCAACCAATCCAGACGTATCGCCAGATATCTGATTGATCGATCAAACAGCAAGGTTAACAAGACTCGCTATTCATTGTGGGCTTGCAGACGTGTTGTCGGCGTGAGGTGGGGACTTAAATCCAAAGTGGTACACTGGGTCTATACGACGATAGTACGTCCATCTCTTTTGTAGGCTCCCTGGTTTGGTAGCTTTGCATTGGAACAGACAACTAAGATCTAACTGAATAAAATTCAGCATTTGTCTTGTATCAGTATTACAAGCGCAGTGCGGACAACGCCATTGAGTTCTGCTGGATCTCCCATCGTTAGATCTAGTGATCCGCGGAGAGGCAAGAGTAGTCGCACATCGACCGTGGAGTCTGGGCAGCTGGACCTTTTTGAATCCTGTCACCGCTATCTTAGTCGAGCAGCAAAGCGATGATCCTGTCCTTCTGAGCAGGGATGATCTGATCACCACTAAATATCACTTCAAACGCAACGTTAATGTGGAGTATCCAAGGAGGGCGGAATGGGGCTTCGGAAGCCGGAAGGTCTCCGAAGGGCGTGGGCAGGTCTGGTCACTGAAGAGAGCTCTGGCGTTGAAGTCTTTGGGCCTAGAACTAAGCTATCTCTGCCTCTCTATGAAGGCACTAAGTGCCTGTAAGATTTCTTCGTGCCTTGTTTTGCAATGTAGAGTGGCTCTGGATAATCTAACAGGGTGGCGTCCGGTATCGTTAATGTTCATTCAATCGATCAATCGAAGAAATACCCAGAATCCAAAAGAGAATGAAGTTCAATGGACCTAAACTCGGCGATATAGATGGCAATTGTGTTCATGAAATGTTTTCCTTCAATGAGTTAAGTTTGGCCAGGTACGTTATCAACAACTTGTATTGTATTTTAAGAGATTTGCCAAATTTTCCTCGACTAAATTCAAGTTTTGAAACCGCTGTGGTATATAATTCACCTTCATTCATACCATTTACTTCACGCAAGGTGTACCGATATCCACCATCGGAGACAATACGATTTTTTTATATAAAAATTAGCGGGTATTCATGCATGTCGTAAATATATAATCTATGGACATAGTAAATATAGTGAAAAAAAGGAAAATGGATGGAACAAAGCATATCCAACCTTGAACTGAAAATAACAAGCGGATTGGCCAATATATCCGTTCAAGTAGAAATAATTATTATATCAGCAATATTCTGCATACATGCAGGTGGATTATTTTTAGAAAGTACTTACGCCTGCTATACGTTTTTCGTCATTGGAGAAAGTTGCCCTTTTTGCACGGTTCTTTGGATGGTGGTCATTAGCATTGAGGGCACTAAGAGCTTCTGTAATTAAGTAAAAATATTTCACATTATTAAATAATCAAACAGCATCAAAAAACTGATCAAACATTTTGTTACAGTTTGTCGCTCTTAAAGGTTCATCTAGAATATCTTTGGGATCTCCTCCTCCTCGGAAACAGCGATAGCATAACCGCAAGAACTAGCGACATTTAACCTGCGTGTTTTCCTTGTAATGTTGGGCTTCTACGCCTATATATACTAAGTGACATATAAATCCGAACACCCAGTTTAAATGGTTTTATTTTAATAAAATTTTGTATAAGTACTTAATGAAGCATAATAAGTAAATGATAAGAATTTCAAAATGATTGCACTGCTTTAAAGCCCTTTGACCTTTAATAATGTGTGGATGCACCCTGATGTGCTACGCATTCTCCAACGCGCCTAGGCATGCTTCTGATCAGGTGGTCAATGTCCTCCTGTGGTATCTCATTCCAGGCAACCACCAACTCCTCTCGGAGTGCTTCTAGAGTCTGAGGAGGACGTTGCAAATTGAGCAATCTCCTACCCATCATATCCCACACGCGCTCAATTGGGGATAAGTCGGGAGATCTTGGTGGCCATGGTAACAATGTGACATCATTATGTTGAAAGAAGTCTATTGTGACTCTTGCAACATGTGGTCGGGCATTATCTTGTTGGAAAGTTGGATCTGCCAGGGTGTCAAGATAGGGTAAAAGATGGGGTTGTAGAACTTCGTGGATATAACGCTGCGCGTTCATGTTACCTCTGATGAAGATTAAAGGTGACTTGGAATCATAAGCTATAGCACCCCAAATCATAACTCCAACAGTGTGAGGAACATGTCTTTCAACAAAAAACTGTGGATTCCTCCTTTCACCACGTCGCCTTCTAACCCTGGCACGACCATCGTGCATGCCTAAACAAAATCGAGACTCGTCACTAAAGACAATACTGGTCCATTCCTGATCCCAAAGTGACCGTTGTCTGCACCACTCAAGGCGATTACGTCGGTGTTCTCGAGTTAAAGGGAGGACCCAGTGTGGCCGGTATGAAAACAAGTCAAAACTTCTCATTCGTCGGTAAACACTTCGCATGCCAATAAGTCTTCCGTGTTATGCAAACCATTCATTTGCAATGGACCTGGTAGTGGAGAAACGGTCCCTTAAGGCCAATAATCTTAGGCGGCGATCTTCACGGTCTGTTGTTCTACGGCGGCGTCCAGTGCCCCTTGCTCTTTGCGTACGGCCTTCTCGAAGCCATGCCTGACAACACCTAACCATAGTGTCTACACTTCTTTGCACTCTAACTGCAATTGCCCGAAAAGAAAGTCCAGCTTCCCGAAGTCCCACTATACGACCCGTATCAAACTCACTAAGTTGACGAACTCGTACAGATCTCCGTACTCTAGGCATCGTAACCGATCGTAAAGGATGTCAAGAACCAAAATCCGCCAACGTTGATTCTTTACTGCGGCTGAAATATTCATTCTTAGAGCGTTAGTGAATTAAAAAAAAGCAGTATAAAAACCGGAATGTCCAACTGATAAGGCTGAAAATTTTTTCACTTGTTATTTACAGTAAGATAAATACATTCACCAACTTTTATTAAAATAAAACCATTTAAACTGGGTGTTCGTATTTATATGTCACTTAGTATAGTAAAACACCTTAATTCGTTTATGGTTAACTTTGTTCCGTTTAATATTTGCTGCTGTAGTCGTTCCTCTGTCTCTGCAGCATTTCCGGTGACCTTTATTACTCGAAATACCTAACATTTGCTAACAGTTTCTAATAACAATATTTACCCAACGTGTTTGCACTATACTGCATCCTAGCCGACGACAAAATTAAATCATACCATGTAGGAGGTATCTAAATTAATTGACGAAACTGGCAACGTGGCGTGCGATCTGGCAACACTGGAGGCGCCGGGCTTGGAGGGGAGACAGTGGAACATGTGATCCGTCTTCAGTACAAGCTTGAGCTCGCTCGAGTCATTTGGTGGTCCGTAGCGATTCCTTTTTGTATGTGTGTACGTGTAATTGTACCCGATTACCACGTCCCAAGCAGTGATAACCTCCAGGTCTCTCGTCAGAGAGGAAGTCGTAGCTAGCCTTCTTTTTTCCAACTCAGCGGCATAAATCGGCTTGTCACTCTGAATTCCTGCATGTAAAGTGCTGTCATCATCAAGAACAACTGGGTGTTGTATCACGATAATGCTCCTTGTCACACATCAATGTCGATAAACGAGTTTTGGGCCAGTAGAAAGATTCTTGTGGCTCCTCAGCCTCCTTATTCACATGGCTTGAGTCCTTGTGACTTTTTTCCCTTCCCGAGGTTGAAAAATCACCTCAAGGAAACTCATTTTGGGACAGTCGAAAACATTCAAACGGCTGCAACCGACCAGCTAAGGGTTATTCCAGTATCCAAGTTCCCACACTGCTATAAGGAGTGGAAGAACCGTCTCCAGCGCTGTGTGGTTTTAGAAGCAAGTCATTTTGAGGATGACATTAAAAAAATTTAATTATATTTGACTAAAAGAATTAAAAAATCAGCCTCATCACTTCATAGACAGACCTCGTATATTCCTTAGCACTTAGCCTATGTGTTGATCTACTTGACGTGATTTAATTTTTGTATTTTTGAATCATTATGAAACAGAAAATAGTTCAGATAAGGATAACGGATTTATTGCAGTGGAAAATCTAAACAAAAATCAATAAATAAAATAAATTATCAATTATAGTCGTAATCAATTTGTAAGAGTACTTAAAATTGCAATTAAATACACGTTTTGATTTTTATAAAAACATTAGAAGTTCATATCGCAAAAAAAGTTGCAACCAGGACAATGGGCGCATTTAGGAAATGACAACGGTTGTCTTTGGATTCAAATGGCTACTAACATAAAAGGGAATGTTCAGGGGGGCGGTTTTGGGGCTCAAGTCCCGTCTCCCCCTAAGCTCCAAAACCTTATATATTTTTCTTTATATAAATCTATACCTATCTACATCTAAGCTTAAAAAAATATTTGACACTGAGCATTTATTTGTGAATCAGACTGCTGACAGCATTTTTATACGAATTTTTGCGCTTCACACGTATTTTTTGACCGGAAAAATAAGACTCTCATTAGGTAGGCAAACATCATTAAGATAAACGTTGATGTATCGATACACCGATGTTTTAGATGAAATGGCGTCAAGTAGGTTGGCTTCTTACACAACGCAGTCATCAGTGCATAAAGGATTAAACTCTCTGCTTAAGAAATTAGTTCAATAAAAAAATTAAACTGGTCAAGTCAGCCAAACTTTACCATTGAGTTAGGCCATAGAAAATTATTTCTCTGCCTTACCAGTAGTTGTCGTCCGTCTGGCAACGTTGCGCCTTCCCACCACCGCAGTACGAGCGAAAGAGCCAGTAAATACTGGAGCTACTTCAGAAGTTCCCCAGGGATCTAACTTGGAACCTTATTATTTTTAATATTTATTAACGATTTGTCACTTGAGATTAAATGTCATTTATTTTTTGCTGATGATTTAAAAATTTATAGTAGCATCGTAAATTACGACGACTGCCATTTTCTTCAAAATAATTTGGAAATTATCAGTTCATGGTGTTCCAGAACCCTCCTCATACTAATGGTGTCAAAATATATATTATAGGAAACAAAACGTTATGCTTTATTATGATTAACGTATTAATCAGGTAAAGTTAGAAAGGAGTAACAGTTATAAAGACCTAGGTGTTACATTTGATGCCAAGTTCACTTGCTTTCCGAATGCTAAAGTACTGTGTTAAAAAGTGGCCAGGTTTCTCGAATGTTGAAACAATCAAGCTTCTATATCTAACATACGTCAGAAACAAGCTTAATTATACATCGCTTATCCAGGCACCTATTTATCAAAACTCTCTTAGCACATAGGAATCTTTTCAACCAAAACAATAAGATTTATTTCCCTTATATTTTAAGTAACATAGGTTTTAATGTTCCTCGCTCAGGTAACCGTTATTGTGCTACATTTTACTGTGATTTCTGCAAAACCGATGTTTTGTCCAAGTCTCCCGTTCATAGGATGTGTACTCTATTCAATAGTATTAGCAAATGCGACATATTCAATGACACTAAATCTCGCGTCATCGAACTTTACCTTGATGACATTGTAAGGTAGTATATTATTGTTGATTATTTACTTGTACATATATTGTTATACTTATCTATGTATTTGTGTACTGCACTTTATTGATATGTATTGATATTTCCTGGAATTGGGTGTTTCTGTCGGTTAGAAATAAACTGATTGTTATTATTATATTAGGGTACCAAAATGGAAGAGAGTTGGTACAAAAATAAGGATTTCGGTCACTTCTCTCTGATATTTCTCCATAGCAACATCGACAAATAAATAAATGTATTTACGTGTACATATTGTTCTATAAAAAGGAGTGTACATGTATAGGTGTGTGCTTAATTACTATAACGATGAATTATTAATTGATCTAGTGCTAATTAAGTAGATGGCAGTGGGAATAGGGTTTCTATAATTAATATGCACGGTCACCCATTAGAATTTATTTATTTCATTATAACCAATTTACATCAGCAACTACGGAAGGGGAACGACATTTATATGGGTAATTTGGAATGGCAACTATAACTTGTTATAACATTAGAAAAAAATTATACCAGTTTCTCTCATATCTCATTGATAAATATAGGTAGATAAATGAAAGGAAACCTGAAATGCGCATGATCTTAGATATGCTCCAAAAATAACGCCAAACAGAAGAGAACTCTATTCACTCGATTCAATGCTACAAAGACCTCAGCTTACAAGGGCCCCTACCCGAAAAGAGCAAATGTCGTCAAATAGGTTGACTCTTCACTTGCCATGCAACGCCATCATCAGCTCATGAAGGATTATGTTCGGCCCAGGTTTTCCTCTATTTTATTTTTGCTACATGTTTGACGCAAAAATTAAATCAGTCAAGTCAGACAAATACACCCATATAGAATTA